ACTTTCAGAAAGTTGTGATGACAAACTGTTGTAGAAGTATATTTAGGCCAAAATTCTCATAACTAATAGAAAATCAATGAATCGATAATTTCATAATTTCCTGTCGATATTATCTACAAAGATTTATAAAATTCTGTTATATGGTTTCAGAGGAGTTGAGATAACGAGAACAGGACAGACAGACTGATGGGTCAAAAACATTGTACCCTTAGGAACTTTGTTTGGTTTGGTATAATAAAGGGTCTGCTAAATAATGTACGGCTCAGATTAATTAGTCAATTGGTCACATCAGTTTTTGGTGAAGTTCGTTTTGCTCAGTCTTTAGTGTTCTTTGTTGTGTTTTGCATACTGTTGATTGACTTTTAATTTTTCTCTTTTTTGCCGTGGTTTTGTTAGTTTATTATTGACTTATGAGTTTGAATGAGCCTTTGTTATCTTTCGCCTCTCTCTTCGATGGGTTACACTAATGTCCTGACAATGTCCTGACAATGTCCTGACAAAGTCCTGACGGATATGAAAATGCTAATTACGTTTTCATTATATAAAGGATTTACTTTAAATTTGGAACCAAGCAAGATGACAACATTAATCTAATAAATAAAAGAAAAAAAATTTAAAAAAATATTTTTAAGAGTTAGAAAACTTGACCTGACCAACTTCGACTTTGAAATCACTAATGTCCTGACCGATATGAAACGGCTAAATACTTTTTTATTATTCACAGGATAGACTTCAAATTCGATATCAAGGAAGATTAAAACATTTAATCCAAAAATATAAGAAAAAAATGCAAAAAAAATATTTTTTAGAGTTAGAAAACTTGACCTGACCAATACGATTTTGCCGCGACTAATGTCCGGACCGATATAAAACTGCTAATTTCTTTTTTATCTTTGGAAGGATTAACTTCAAATTTAGTAGCAAGGAAGATTTCGACCGTTATTGTATTGTATTGTATTGTATTGTATTGTATTGTATTGTATTGTATTGTATTGTATTGTATTGTATTGTATTGTATTGTATTGTATTGTATTGTATTGTATTGTATTGTATTGTATTGTATTGTATTGTATTGTCTTTATTGAACTCAGTTTAATTGAATGTCTTCTTTTTTTCTGTTAGTGAAAATTGTGTGTATTAATTTATTTTATTTCTTTGTGATTCTAACATAATTGTAATTTATATGCTTGTATATACATCGTTTTTAAACAATACGAATCTCATTTCCTGCCTTTATATGACATGTATAATCACTCAATAACTAGATAAACAAAAAATAAATAATCAGATAGGAAAGAAAACATTCCAATTTGTGATTATAGTAATTAATATAGGTGTGATTTTATTTTAATGGTTCATATCACCTTCCTTTGCGTTTACTTTTATACAGTTTTTTTTATTTAATTGTTACATCAAGAAGAAAAAACCTTTCCATTTACTTAGTTATTAAAATCATTAATGTAGGTAACTAATTACATTTCACTTTTATAATTATTTAATTGGGTTTAATAATTCAATAATTAGTTTCATTAGTCACACTTATTAATCAAATCAAATGAAGTAGAGTTGTGATGAGGGGTAAACAATACTCACAGTCAGCAACATATACTCATATTTCCCCTATCTTTTCATTTAACAAAATTTATTTGCTTTGGATGTTGTGTTTTATGGATAAGATAAATATAAATTCAATGACAATATAAGGTAAGAACTAAAAACGTTTTTGTTTGTGTATTAAGTTTAATAAATTGAAGGTGGTTAGGTCAAGTTTTTATTTCGTATGAAATATTGTTTTCCAATTACTTTATAAAAAGTATTAAAAAGAAAACGTTATAATTTGACTTGGTTTCAAATAAGAACTCAATCATACCAACAATGTTACAAGTATTAGCACTTTTATATCGGTCAGGACATTAGTCACGACAAAGTCGATGTTGGTCAGGTCAAGTTTTTTTACCCTTAAAGTATTTTTTTCCCAATTCTTTTCAAATAAGTATTAAATCAATATTACTTTCTTGTCTGGTGTCAAATTTGAAGTCAATCCTTCCACAGAAAAAAAGGAAATTAGCAGTTTTATATCGGTCCGGACATTAATCGCGGCAAAGTCGTAGTTGGTCAGGTCAAGTTTTCTAACTCTAAAAAATATTTTTTTTTGCATTTTTTTCTTATATTTTTGGATTAAATGTTTTAATCTTCCTTGATATCGAATTTGAAGTCTATCCTGTGAATAATAAAAAAGTATTAAGCCGTTTCATATCGGTCAGGACATTAGTAATTTCAAAGTCGAAGTTGGTCAGGTCAAGTTTTCTAACTCTTAAAAATATTTTTTTTTATTTTTTTTCTTTTATTTAATAAATTAATGTTGTCATCTTGCTTGGTTCCAAATTTAAAGTAAATCCTTTAAATAATGAAAACGTAATTAGCATTTTCATATCCGTCAGGACTTTGTCAGGACATTGTCAGGACATTGTCAGGACATTAGTGTAACCCCTCTTCGATCAATTTGATTGGGAGTTAGGACATACTGATTTAGGCCCAAACTTGTTTCTGATTGTTCAGTGATTATTGCAAATGTAAATCATACTAGCCTTTACAAGGTTCTATATGGTATGTTTTTGCTCATTGTTGAAGGCTGTATGGTTGCATATAACTGCTTACATCCACTTCATTTGAACTTGAGTGGATAGGTGTATCATTGGCAATCATATCACATCTCCTTATTTTTACAGTATTGTATTAGTACTGCTACAAATTTGGCTACTTCCTGTTTATGAGGCCGGTGCCTTAGAAAAGAATTGTAACAATGGATCCAATCTTTCAAAAACCAAAGACTAACTTTACTAGGAGCAGCAGTTAGTTGTCATAGAAATCATGAATAAATAGGCAAAAAAAACATCTGCCACTTTTATAAAAGGGACTACACATAGTTTTTGAAAGGGTATAATCGGTTTGTGCCGAAAATAGTTTCCTTTGTCCCGAAACTCATTTGTGCAAAATGGTAATATCAACCCACATTTTCGTGTTGCTTGGTCTTTAGTTTTCTATGTTGTGTCTTGTGTACTATTATTTGTCTGTTTGTCTTTTTCTTTGATAGCCATGGCGTTGTCAAGTTTATTTTCGATCTATGAGTTTGTCCATCTGGTATCTTTCGCCCCTCTTTTATGACTGGCAGTTCCCTCAGGCTGATATTTGTAGTTTTTATCAACAGCTTGCACTTTTCTAAATTATATTTGCTTCTTAAGACTGACCAAAACTGCTTTTTATCAGTGTAATTTGATTAAGGTAGTGTTTATCAAACAACTGTTGGAAATATTTTTGGACAACCCTCTTATTTACAATATTATTTGATTAACACATAGTGATCTTTGATGGTATCTTGCATAGCATTAATAAAGTCTTTTTTAACAGGCAACTTGAATTTATTGGCCCCTTATTTATGTTCATCTATAGCACATGCATGTACTGCTGATCTGCATATATGATAGCAATATATTCTTATGTTTTCAATCACCCCTTATTTCTTCACTCCATTTTATAAGATAACAATCTTTTTTATTCCATATTTTATTGGTTTTTTAAAAGGTATCATTATTTAGACATAAAGACAAAACTAAGCACAGTGAAAAAAGTCTACTCTGTCCTGTAAAGTTTTAGATGTTTTTGTCGTTCAATCTTTGACACTTGTATGGAAACACTAAATCCTGATTACCTACAACAGAAATATTATCACTTTTAATAAATAAGTCCAATTCAGTTGCTGCAATTAACATACATGTAATAAGTAAAATGACAAAATTTAATAGACAAGATCAGATCTCCACGTGAAGAATATTCAAAAATATATCAAACATAAAAGCAAAGAACAGTAAGTTTTATTTGCCATTTAAGGACAAATAGGACCATTCCACCATTTGAAGGGAAAAGATTACATAAAATTTCAATGCAGAAATACAATTTATGTGCAACACTTTTCATTTAAATAAATAAATTCTATACACAGTATTTGTCTATACCTACCGTCGGTGGTTACCATACAATACAGTACTCCTATACACAGTCTATCAACAGTATTTGTCTATACCTACCGTCGGTGGTTCCCATAAAATACAAGACTCCTTTACAAAGTCTATATACAGTTTTTGTCCATACCTACCGTCGGTGGTTAACATACAATACAGTACTCCTATACACATTATATATACAGTATTTGTCCATACCTCCCGTGGTTAACATACAATACAGTACTCCTATACACAGTCTATCAACAGTATTTGTCTATACCTACCGTCGGTGGTTACCATGCAATACAGTACTCCTACACAAAAGCTATATACAGTATGTGTTCATACCTACAGTCGGTGGTTACCATACAATACAGTACTCCTATACACAGTCTATATACAGTATTTGTCCATACCTACCGACGGTAGTTAAAATACAATACAGTACTCCTATACACATTCTATATACAGTATTTGTCTATACCTCCCGTCGGTGGTTACCATACAATTCAGTACTCCTATACACAGTCTATATACAGTATTTGTTCATACCTACAGTCGGTGGTTACCATACAATACAGTAATCCTATACACAGTTTATATACAGTATTTGTCCATACCTACCGTCGTTGGTTACCATACAATACAGTACTCCTATACACAGTCTATATACAGTATTTGTTCATACCTACCGTCGGTGGTTACCATACAATACAGTACTCCTATACACAGTCTATATATACAGTATTTGTCCATACCTACCGTAGGTGGTAACCATACAATACAGTAACCCTATACACAGTCTATATACAGTATTTGTCTATACCTACCGTCAATGGTTACCATACAATACAGTACTCCTACACAAAGTCTATATACAGTATTTGTCCATACCTACCGTCTTTGGTTAACATACAATACAGTACTCCTATACACAGTCTATATACAGTATTTGTCCATACCAACAGTCGGTAGTTACCATACAATACAGTACTCCTTTACACAGTCTATATATACAGTATTTGTTCATACCTACCGTCGGTGGTTACTATACAAAGTCTATATACAGTATGTGTCTATACCTACCGTCGGTGGTTACCATACAATACAGTACTCCTATACAAAGTCTATATACAGTATGTGTCTAAACCTACCGTCGGTGGTTACCATACAATATAGTACTCCTATACAAAGTCTATATACAGTATTTGTTCATACCTACCGTGGTTAACATACAATACAGTACTTCTATACACAGTCTATATACAGTATTTGTCTATACCTACCGTCGGTGGTTACCATACAATACAGTACTCCTATACAAAGTCTATATACAGTAAGTGTCTAAACCTACCGTCGGTGGTTACCATACAATACAGTACTCCTTTACACAGTCTATATACAGTATTTGTCCATACTTACCGTCGGTGGTTACCATACAATACAGTACTCCTTTACACAGTCTATATATACAGTATTTGTCCATACCTACAGTCGGTGGTTTCCATACAATACAGTACTCCTTTACACAGTCTATATATACAGTATTTGTCCATACCTACCGTCGGTAGTTACCATACAATACAGTACTCCTTTACACAGTCTATATATACAGTATTTGTCCATACCTACCGTCGGTAGTTACCATACAATACAGTACTCCTTTACACAGTCTATATATACAGGATTTGTCCATACCTACCGTCAGTGGTTACCATACAATACAGTACTCCTATACACAGTCTATATACAGTATTTGTCCATAACTACCGTCGGTGGTTACCATACAATACAGTTAGAGTATTAGGAGTAAATCATATATGTATGATAAGTATCACAACTATTTTACGCAACAAATGGTATGAATGAATATTGTATTATTTTTTTAAAAATTATCATTTTACCCAGTGAATTTTTATTTTTTCTGTTGATTAGTTTTCATTGATAAATTTATCAGGACTGGGTTGAAACGAACCTTCAGATTTTGAAGGCTGTATCAGGTACCAGGATTGTATTATAAAATTTTACTACCTGTTAACCCATGAGTTAATCAATTTTATAAATCAACAAGCTATCAGCTTAACAGGCTAGGTAAAATTGTTCAACGATTGTTTCATTGTTCTTTTTAATAAAAAAAAAATTACCAGTTTCAGTAGACTGAAAATAATATTATTTTATAAATGAGGATGCATTTAGATCAAATTGTGACATGAAAATGTCGAGATTCATTCCAAATTATGGACAAATGATAATGCTATTAATAAAACCAAGTTGTAACCATTGCCTTTCTCTTTTCTATTTACATTATTTATGACTAGGTAATAATGATTACTTTTTTCAACTATTTCATACTCTTTTGTTTTCTCTACTTTTCTATCAAGGACATAATTGTTTATTGCAAACTAAACATCTGCATATTTAAACTATTCCTGACTATACTCTACCTCAAATTCTGGAAACTGCAACATTTTTCTTATCATGCTTATGCAGTTATGTCATGACTGGTAGCTGAACAATTTCTATTTTTTGGTAATCTGGATTAGTCTTTTGCCACTGTTCTGCCCATTCTGGGGCTACATAAAAAAAACCATGACAGAATTATTAAAATTATTTGTGTATAATGTTTGTGTACTGTCATGTTCTTAAAAGGACAAAAAATATTTTTAGTGTACAAATAAATAATTGTGATTTTAATATCTTAATATTATAAAAGAAAAGATTCAATTTATATTTTAATTAAAAGATGAATGAGCACATATAAATCAACCTTTTACTCAGATTTAAATCTATCATCACGTATTATAATTACTAGCTATGACTATCATCATCTAATTTTACAAGACAGTATTTATTTTAGTGGCACATCCTCCACAATTAGTATGATATGCCTTAGGTGTCATTTTGATGCAATCACATTGCAGGTGGTTCATGTCTTGGGTTTTTATTAATGAATAAATTACAGTTTAGGCTGATCTGAGGTCAATAGGCATAAACAATGTCATCAAACTATGTGTTATTACTGTAATATAATGATATTGTGACATTTATGGGAAAGAGCATAGGAGTTGGTCATATTGGTCAATAAATTTGAAAGTTTATAATTAAGTTAATATTAATTACATACTAATTAAATTACCTAAACAATCATTTCAAAGATTGCTCTCAAAATATTTTTTAGATCAGAGCCTGTCTGCAATATATTCAGGGGTAGTCCAAATAATTATGACTTCTTAAAAGGTTATATTATGGTTTTTTTTCTGCAGTTGAAATACTTCAAAGCCAAAAAAACACATAAAATAGGATTTCAAGACGTCATTATGATAATAATTTGAACTAATTTGGGATAATAATTCATTTAACTTCCTTTGATGTCCGGAGGGGGGGGGTCGTTTTGACAATTAATGATTCTTGAAAGTAACAATAATTATTTCTTATTGACTATTGTTACTTTGTGCAGCGAGCGCGATGGCCGATGTGTGGTTCTCGAGTTATTTTTTAAAAAGGGGGAGTGTTTGTTACCTATATCAAATTTACCCAGTTTTGATTCAAGAAAGAATTACAATCTAACCATAAACTCCAAGGTTCCATTTTTTCTGAGCAGAACAAAACACGAGGCATTCTCGTCTCTAATATAAACAATAGTTACTCTCTTCTTACAGGTTACTTTAATCAGCTGTTTATCTGTTTACCATGTTTAAACTGGTCCGCCATTCCATCGTAGTGCAGCGATAAATAAACACAACAGGGGTCCAGTTTATTTACGGGTAACGTCTGTAAACCAAGAACAATGATAAAACATTGTCGACAGTCCCTCAATTCCGTATACTTTTCTTATCTTCATACTAAAGAGCTCCAAAAGTAGGCGTGCATAGTTGCACTGGGCGTGTCTAAAAACCGACCCTCGGTGGTTAACGTCTCTCGCTGGTTAACTTTAAGTGCCGATGATGTAACCCTAGGTAGCATTTTAAGGCCAACACATTTCATGCAGGTGTTACCACTCCAGACACATGTCGCAAACTATAGATTCATACATATGCACGTCTATACCGCACATTAAACAGCTCTATTCTGCTATATCCTTCCTCAGCGATATGTTGTTTTTTACAAGAACTTCTTCTATGTAACTGCACAAAATGTGCATCTTGGAACCGTTTAAGTTTATCATTAAAATCTTGAAAGGATATAACATATGTATAAACTGTTCACCGACCACAAATTAATTGGACATCTATGGTGTACGATTAGGGTCAAAAGTAATTTTATCATGCAAAAGCACTAATTTATTGCAAATGCTACATTAATTGTAGCAAATGCAATAATCATTACTGCAAAAGCTATATTTATTGTAGCAAATGCGATAATTATTTCTGCAAATGCTACAATTATAAAAAATGTAGCATTTGCTATACTTCAACGTATTTAATGGATCAAAAGTAAATTATAGCAAATGCAACACATTGTAGCGTTTGCAGCATTTGAACTTTTATTAAAGCAAATACAATTGTATACACTCCAGGACAGGAGGGTCAAAAAGATAACAACCGCTTTTGCATTAAATTAGAAACAAGAGGAGGAGCTTATCAAAAATGAATACTAATTCTAATCAAAAGAGGGCTGTGCCATAACACGTCAATTAGAGTGTAGACTGAAAGCTACTGCCAATATTAACTCAGAAATGTGCAAAATTAAGCGGAAAGGAGATTTGATATTACGTGGATAACCATATGAAAATAAAGAAGAAAGTAATTTTACTTAAAGTAGCTATCACTACCAATGTTCACCCACATAGTCATTTCGTTTTAGCTTTTAGTTAAAATACTAGTAGTTTAGGTATATGCATGTACTCATTTATATTTTATAAATGCAGAAAATTTCAAGAAAATTTGGAGAATGAATATTATGATTTACATATATATATAATAAAAAGAAAAATAATAGGCTAATATACAAACAAAATTTGGAAAACTCTTATGAAAAATATTATGATAAAATATCAAATTTACAAGAAAACAGTATACTACAACTTAAAAAAAAAGTAATACTAGTACCTTTGAAACATACATACCTACCCAAAAATTTTAACATAGACATTTAATTTGTAAATTTCTAATAAGTCAGACCCCAGTTTATTAATAGAAACTAGTAGATGCAGGAACATTCCTAGTGATTTAAGACTCTAATGATTTAAGACTATGTACACATTGAGATGTATTAGATGAAGAAGTTTCTTTGTTTACTATGGCATGGTATTGGTTGCAAAAATTTGATATTTTTCATTTAAATGCAATATTTTTTATTTAATTGGTATATTTCTTCATTTAAATGCAATATTTTTTTTTATTTAGATGGTATATTTCTTCATTTAAATGCAATATTTTTTATTTAAATGGTATAATATTTCATTTAAATGGTATAATTTGTCATTCAAATGCAATATTTTTTATTCAATTGGTATAACTTGTCATTTTAATGCAATATTTTTTTATTTAATTGGTATAGTAGTTTTTTTTATTTATATGCAATAATTGCATTATGGGAAATTCTATGACGTCACAAGGTCAAATTTGCAACAACGTTTGTGATTGGTCGGTAATTGTTTGGATTTCTTCCCTTTCTTTCTAAACATGAGTGACCAAGAATTAAAAAAACGCGTCGGAATATCACCCCTCTAACTAAATCTGGCGTTCGTGCGAGTTCTTGCACTGGCTGTTAATGCCAATAATGTCCAGGTCGAGCAATAAATGCGAGTGACAAGTAATAATAATTAATTTGACACACAACCTATTCATGGATAGAAACAGATACCTGCGTGCATGGCAAAAACGCCTCCAATGAAAACCCTTTCTGAAGAAACTCCCCTACAGTCTACACATTGAAAAAAAAAATACATAGCTACCCCCACCTTTCCCCCCTTTAAGTCCAGATATGATGTAATCATGACGTTCTCTGATCTCTGATGCTATATCATTTTTTACTTTTCTCAGTTGATCCTCAGAGACATTGCAGGTAAGGCAAACATAAAAAAGAATAAAAAGCATTCCAGGACGTTATAATTATTTGGACTAAGTCCCCTCTTTTTTGCTACATGTAGAAAAAAAATCACCTAATTACGACAGCAGAACCAGCTCACAGAGACCCACAAGAAGAGACCTGAGCTGTGATACTCCGGAACTAATTCTTTAATAAAGACAATTCGGGATAAATTGGAACCAGTTACTAACCCATGTTACAACAATAGTCCTATGACATAGGACGTACACTGTATATGAAGGCGTGAACTTCATATTTTGGACTATCTATAATATGTGCTCTCATGTCTTATACCGCATATCATTTTACATTTAGTATTCGTTGCTGAGCTTTTTTTACTGTTCCCATCTCCGAATCCCTTAAATAGAATTTTTTCAAGCCCCACAGTAGTTCAATAACTACTATATGTCTTTGCATAAATAAGTATGCAGGGCATATTTCAAAACATATTTTTCTTCAGGACTTTTAATTGATTTACTTTTCAATACTGCATTGGGAAAGGGGGGGGGGGGGGGGTATACAAGTAACTTTATTTTGTGACACAGTATATAATATAATTAGATACAAATCTCTAATGATTTGTATCCAGCAAATTGTAGGATTGTACGTTTAGCTATTATCTAGACCCGTAC